TGGGGACAGGAATGTGGGGACTGGCACCTTTGGGCTCAGGGAGCTCTGGGCACAGGGACAAGGGAACTGGGATGCAGGGACAGAAGGGGACAAGAAGGGTGAGGATGGGGTCATGGGGATGGGATCATGGGGATGGGATCAGGAGCTGTTGGGGGTGACCTGGACCAGCATGGGGTGTGTCCATGGTGTCCTTGTGCCCAGGCTATCCACAGTGTCCCCATGTACTACAGGGTGGCCTCGGTGTCCTTGTTCCCAAGGCTTCTGTGCCACACGGATGTGGTGCAGGGGTGGCCCTGACACAGACATGTCCCCCAGCCTCTCCAGATCTTCTGGGGGCCATACCCATGCACCTTCTCACCATAACTGAAAGTTCTCCCTACGAGGACAGTCCCCACACTGTGACCCCCACCCAGCCCTGTCCCTTCTCTCTTCCAGCCCAGACCCTTGGCCTCATTGGTGAGTCCTCGGGGGATGCCATGTCCCCACCCCACTGTCCCCAGCCCCTTGGTGGCCCTTGCAGGCTGGTGTCCCCTGTCACCCACAGGTGCCCAGTCTACCCAGCTCCTCGTTGAGCCCCCCTGGAGGCCCGCAGTACTGTGGGACCGGGTGACACTGAACTGCCAGTGCTCAGGGACCACCGGTGCCGCCACCTGGTACAAGGATGGGCAGCACTGGGGACAGCAGGGACGAGACCGAATCACTGTTACCAAGAGTGGCACCTACACATGTTACAGACCCAGCACCGGGCTCAGCCCCACCATGAGAGTCTTAGATGGGGAGGAGGGGATCCTAAATGATCAGGGTGGTCCCTGATAGGTCTGGGTGGCCTCCACTCCGTGGGTGACCTCACACCCCTCGTGTGGCAAGAACCTGTCCCCTGCAAACAGGAGCATCCCAGTGCACCCCAGTCCACCCAGATGTCCAGGTGTCCACCCAGTGCAACTCTGACCTGTGTGGAGCCCCTCAGTGAGATGGGTCTCTCCTGTCCCCTAGACTGGCTGGTGCTGCAGGTGCCAGCACAGGCACTGCTGGAGGGGGACACCATGACACTGCGATGCCGAGGCAGTCAGGACAACCCAGTCACCAGGGTGCGATTTCTCTGGGACAAGAAGGATCTGCGGTGGTTCCTCAGGGGAAACAAGCTGTCACTGTCCCCTCTGCAGCTGCAAAACAGTGGCCGCTACCGCTGTGAGGGTTTGGTGAAATCCTGGCTGAGAAGGTCAGCAGCAGTGACAGTGACAGTGCATGGTGAGCACACCCACAGCTGGAACTCCAGTATCCTGACAGACCCAAGGTCACTTTCCAGTGGACTCAGGGTCACAATCCTCACCTTCCCATCTCCTTTCCTGAGCTCTTCCCAGTGCCGGTGCTGGAGGGTCCCCCTGAGCCCACCAAGGGTTCCCCCCTGGCTCTCAGCTGCCTCAGCACCCCCAGCCCCGTGCAGCCCCGAGCCTCTCTCCTGCACGTGTTCTACTGGGATGGGCAGGTGGTGGGGGGCCCGCAGGGGTCCCCGCAGCTGCTGTTGCCCACAATAGGGGTCTCCCACTCGGGGAATTACAGCTGTGAGGTGCGCTCCAAGGAGGGGAATGTGCGGAAGAGCAGCGCCCGGATCCACGTCACTGTGCACAGTGAGTGCAGGGATGAGCACTGGGAGCCCCCACAGCCTCCCCGGGTCCCTCATCACTGCCTGGGTACCCCTAGCCCTGCCCTGGGCCCCCAACCTTTCCAGGATCCCTCCCTGGCTCCATGCCTCCTCTCATGGGTACCTCCACAGCTCCCCCAGCTCTACATGGGTACCCCCATCCTTCCCCAACACCTTTTCTGTGTCTCACCGTCCCTGCCCTGGGTCCTTCCCCACAATCCCCCATTCCTAGCTCCTATCTCCCGATCCCTCAACAGGTCCCGTCACCCTTCTCAGGGTCCCCCCCATCCCTCTCTAAGGTCTACGCATGCTCCTCAGGTCCCACCATCCCCTTCCTGGGTCCCCTCAATCCTTCCTGGTGTCACCCACCTCCCTCTCCCACTGTCTCCACCTTGGACCTTCCATCCTTCCTCGAGCTTCTTTCCAAGCCCCTTCCTTATTGTGCCCCCTCCCACTCACTGGGGCCTCCCTGCTCCTCTTCCTCTCCCCTGGGTCCCTCACTGTCCCCTGGTGTCCCCCCATCTCCAGGGGTCCCACCCTCGGGGGTATCCCTGTTGGTGCAGCCCCCCGGGGGACAGGTGGCATCTGGGGACAGCCTGGTACTGAGCTGTGCAGTGGCCACAGGGACAGGTCCCCTGTCCTTCTCCTGGAACCTGGAGGGCTCAGAAGCATCGCTGGGCACCGGGCCCCGTCTGGAGCTGTGGCACGTTGGGGACAATGACAGCAGCCAGTACCTGTGCCGGGTCAGTGACGGGGACAGCGTGGCCGAGAGTGACCCCCTGAATGTCACCGTGCTGGGTGAGCGGGACCCTCAGGCTGGGGGTGACCTCACCCACAGCACCCCCGTCCCACCCTGCCCAGTGCCAGCCCTGTCTGTGTCCCTGCAGTGCCTGTGGCCAATGCCACCATCACCCCCGGTCCCCTGGCACACCAGGTGCGCGCAGGTGATCCCGTGACCCTGCGCTGCCCGATGCAGGTGGGCTCAGCCCCTGTCACCTTCACCTGGCTGCACAATGGGACAAAGGTGGCCCAGGGTCCCCTCCTGGAGCTCGGGGACGTCAAGGTGGCACATTCGGGCACCTACCAGTGTGTGGCCACCAACCAGCTGGGACAGGACGGGCACTGCGTGTTCTGGGTACTCAGCCCCGAGCTGGCCCTGGAGGTGACACCACGGGGACACAGGAACACAGGTGGGGTCACACAGGGTCACCAGGGAGTGCAGCACCCCTGGGGTGATGGGTGATCCTGATGTGTCCCCCTCTGTTTCTTGCAGTGGCCACAGGGGTCGGTGGCGCCCTTTTGTTCCTGGTCCTGCTCGTGGGTGTCATTGTGGCCTGGCACCAGTGGCACTGAGTGGGTGGGTGACAATGGGTGAATGGGGGTCCCAGGGAGCTGAAGAGGCCTCCAGAACTGGGGAGCAATAAGGCAGCACTCACAGGCCCAGAAAGGTGACCTTGTCTGGGGGTGCTGTAGGGCTTGGGGAGGTCCTGGAAGGTCCTGCAGGGATGTTGGGGCTTCTTTCAGGGGCCCTGTGGGCATTTGAAGGATCTTGGTCCTGCCTTGCTTTGGGTTCATGAGGCTTAGTTGGTCGGGGGCACTGGGGATGTTCATGAATTCTGAGGGGCTGCAGGGATACTTGGGGCTCCTGAGGGGAGAGGAGGTTCCCATGGACATTCAGGAATCCTGAGATGGGTCAGGGCCCAAGGACCCCACAGTCACCCTTCCCCTCTTTCCTTTGCAGCCACCAGGAAGCACCAGGAAAGGTGAGTGGGGGTCTCCAGCCATGAGTACCGTTTTACTCAACCCCACAAGTCTCCATCCCTTCCCACACATCTCCTTTATTCTCTCAGGGCTCTGCCACATCCCCCTGCACCCCCAGAGGAGGGGGAGGTGCTGTACACCCACGTTGTTATCACCCAGAGGACAGGGGGTGAGTAAGGGAGGACACATGCACAGGGACACATCACCCACGAGTGTCACCCCACCCAGATGCCACAGCCCGTGTCTCTCACAGCGTCCCCCCATGCCACCACACTCTGGGATCTCCAGGTGACCTATGCGGAGCTGCGGGGGCCACACGGGCAACCTCAGGAACCCAGTGACATCTACAGGAATGTGCTGTGACACCGGTGGGGAACTGGGGGGCACTGGGGGTCCCACCCATGGGCACCCACATGTGGGTGTGCTGCCACTAAAAACTGCCCCTCTCCCTCCCCGTGGAAGCACAAAGATCCCAAAGGGCAGAGAGAAGAAAAATTTCCTGAAACAGCAACAAGAGAGAATAAAACCAACAGCAACAAGGTTCAGAATCCAAAGGGTCACAAAAGGAATTATTTCCAGGGAAAGCCCTGACAAGGAACGAACCCCAGACATTTTCCCCAGCATGTTTTTTTCACCAGAGAAACCTGGCAGGACCCTGGACCTTCCTTGCTCTGATGGCCAAAGCAGCCTTCAGGAAGCTCTGGATTCTCTTGTCCTCTGTCCCAATCCCCTCCTCATGTTCCCCACCGAAGGTTGTCACAAAGGCCCTGTGGGGGTTCCGCAGCCTCTCCCATTTCCAGAACAGTCGGGATCCGGTCATGGCACAGGGTGGGGTGTCACAGACAGGAAACGTTTGGTTTCTGGAGACATTTTGGAAAACCTCTGTGTCGCAGGGATGGGTCAGGCCTTGCTTTAGGGAGACAGGGCCCTGTCTCGCCATCAGTCTATCAGCCGTGGCACACTGGAGACAGTGTGACACTCTACCAAACTCTGGTCCTGAGTGGCCAGGAGACCAGAAGTGCCAGCTGAGGAGAGGCCAAACGGCTTAAGAGGCAGAGCATGAGGTGGCCAAGACCTTTACTCTGTCTCCTCTTGGGGTGTCTGTCCCATCCACATTGAAATCCAGGAGTGATCATGCCTTTCGGTTTACAAGAGATATGTCTGCCAAGGAAAGTGGGAACCCTGCTGGAATAAGAAGACCCATGTCTAAAATTTTTTTAAATGTCAAAACTGATGAAGTTTATAGACAAAAGTACAGAAAACTAAATAGCATCTCTTTGCTGGGAAATTTATCAAGCAGAACAGAACAAACAACACAAACCCAGAACTTTCCTTCCCACTCAGGGCTCAGTTAGTCTTTGGTGCAGTTATGGCCACGGCCAGAAGGGGGCGCTGCAGGGAGCGCTCCCGGCCAGCAGGGGGCGCCCCACTCGAGCTCGATCCCCTCAGGGCCGATGGCGGCCTCGGAGGGAGGGAGGAGGGGAAATCGCTCCTTTTGCAAACTCACCGGCACCAATCGGTCCCGGCACCACCACCGGCAGTGGGCAGAAGCCCACCTGCCCTGTTATCCCGTCCTGCCTGCTGGGGACATGCTCTCTGCCTGCCAGGACATCCTGCTCCACCTGCCAGGGACATCCCACCTGCCCTGCTCTGGGCATTCCCCTTGCCCTGATTGCCAGGAACTTACTTTACCCCTAGAGAACCTCCCAAGCTCAGAGGAGGGCCTGCTTTACCTCTAAGGAGATGCCTCATCACTCCTCTGTTCCGCTCGCTTCCTCACTCGCTTTCTCGCCTCCCGGTTTTTCTTACCGATCCATCACTCTTCTGCGTTGCTTCTCCGTGTTGCTCCTCCATGTTGCTCCTCTGCGTTGCTCGTCTCACGCTGATCCTTGGGTCCAGAGGTAGACAGCAACTCCCGGGGGGCCCTTGAAGCAGTGGTTGAGCTGTCCTGCTGTCTGGAGCTCCTTTCAGGTGTGGCTATCCCGGACGAGCCCCCAAATTGAAACAAACCCGGCTTATGCCTTTATTAATGTTCTGCTCTTTATTAATAAAGATCAGCTGGGGAGGGGGCTCGACACGGAGCTCGCCCCCGCTGTTGTAGTTTTTTCCAGGTAGCTGAAGGGGGAAAGGTATGCAGAGTCTGTCTCTGAAGTCCATGTGGCAGACTGGTAGCCGAAAGGGTGGGGAGGTGTGCAGTCAGTATCTGAAGTCCTCATCAGCAATTGTCCCCTCTCCTTTCCTCATGGCACACTGTTAGCTGAAGGGTGAGGAGATGTGCAGAGCCTGTTGCTGAAATCCTGATCAGCAGCTGTTTGTCCTCCTTTCCTCCTGGTAAGTCCAGGAAAATCCGCCTCCTTTTTTCCTGATTCCCACAGCCTACTCCAGTCCAAACTTCTGTAGGTGATGCTGACAGGTCAAATCTCGATCAGGGATGTGTTTCCCTTTCCCCAGCCAGCACACCTGTCCAGCCCCCTCCACTGTGTTCAGTTTTCCATTTAGTGGTGTCTTTATCCGCAAAACCCCCTCCCATGATTCCAGAGGTTCCTCTATTTGCATCTTAGTCCTAGTATGGTAGTGTCGGTTAGCGGGGGCAGGGGGGTAGGTGATCCCCACGTGGTTTATATAAAACAAACAGAGCAATTAGCTAATTAACAATTCCATATCAGTACTTAATTAGAAGTAGCCACTGCTCCAGTGTTAACATGGGACCCAGGAAGGCCCTGTCCGCCTGGCGACCCTGGGGACATTGGGAACTTTGTTCATTACAGCGACATGTCCGGAGCGAGTGCTACCAGGGTAAGGTCCCCACAGCTCCGCGAACTGGAGGGGTACCCTGGCAGGGGTGGGGCAGGGCTGGGGCAGAGCCCTGTCTATTCCCCGTGCCCTGTGCAGGTGAGGAGGGCAGGGATGGAGCAGCTCTGGGGACACCTGGAATCCAGACAGGGTCACTCCCCACAGCCCCACCACGGCCGCAGCACACAGACATTGCTCGATGTTTCCACACAATTCCCTCTTGTAGGGCAGCCGAGCCAGAACCCAAATATTCTTGCCATGATGGTCCACAGGGCTGCAGGTTTGAGAGAGCAAGGAGGAGGGACCTGGTCAGGTTCTTGTGCAAAACGTTATTGTCTTTGCAGGGTTTCTGGAGCTATCTCAGACCCTTGCTGCAAGAGACAAAATGATTAATTGCTGCATTTCCGGACTGGTTCCCTCTCAGCTGCCCCTGCAGGGGGGTTTCCAGCCAGCCCTGCTCTGAAAACCATCCAAGGCCCTCGCAGAGCCACTGCTTGGGCTCCCTTTGGGTTTTGTGCTTCTTGCAGGGCTGAGCAAACCACAGGCAGGCCACTTCCCCCACAGGATTCTCACCTCTGCAGCAGCTCTAAAGCTGCCAGAATCAAAGCCGGGGGACTAGGGGGACCCTCAGGTCCTGGCTGCCACCTGGGGCTGGCCAGAGCAGGGCTGGCCAGTGGCCACCCCTGTGCAGTGGGGCTGGGCCATGGCTGGGCTCCAGCCTTTCACTGACAGGGGTGCCCAGGATGTGCCAGCCCTGGAACAGGCAGCCATCCAGGAATATGCAGGGACATTTCTGGAAGTGCCACGCACTGGACAGGACCCCNGCCTGGGGAACAGGGGTGTCACAGCAGAAGCAGGCAGTGCCCAGGCAGGGGAATTCAAGGCATGCTCGAGTGGATTTACCAGGGAATCAGACCCTGAGGCACACACGGGCATTTCCACAGATTCCTGGGCACTGTTCCAAGGATGGACAGAGCTTCTCCCCTTTGGAAGAAGAATCCATGGGAAGCCAGTTGAGTTCCAGGGTGAGAGAAATGGGAAGAATTCCTAAATATGGCCCCACAAAAGGCTTCCTTATAGGCTGGGTTGCTGCCCAGCAAGCACAGAACAATCCCATGGAGCTGTTGGACACTCAGGGAGATTCCACACTCTGTGCTATCCGCAAGCAAACACTGCTGTGGGATGCACTAAGGAGCTCCTAAAGGGAACCAAAAAGTCTCATTTCTGTTTGATTTGTTTGTGGTTTTATTGTAAGTGATTTGTTGGGAGAGCAACTATTCTATAAACCAAAGCATTTTATAACTTGTCAGTTTGATTTTTGCTGGGATTTATTGGGAAAAAACGCTGTGGGAGAAGATTTTTTGCTTTTATTCTATGGAGGTGTAATTTTGTCTGAACAAATTGGGCATCAAGTGTTGCTTGAGATTGCTGAGCCAGGAAATGGGGGGGGACAGGAAAAAGCCCAGGGGTGTCTGGGGCACAGACCCTGAGCCTCCCAGGACATCCCAGGGGAGCCCCAGGGTAGGGGCTGTGCTGGGCTCTGGGTCACCTCAAAATCTCAGGCACTGTGTGAAGGACCTGTGACCCCGGTGCCCACCCAGACACTGCCCATCCCTGGGACCACCACTCTCCTGGAAACCAAAACATAGGAACCCCATCCTTACATCCCACCCTCTCTGGAATGCCCATCCCAGTACTCACATTCCCCAGGATCTCCAGGGCCCAGGACCCCATTCCCAAGGAACCCTCTCCCATTCATTCCATCCCCTACAACCCTCCTTCCCCCAGGACCTTGGTTCTTCCAAGGCCCCCCATTCCCCTGGCACCCTTGTTACAGAATTTCTGAGAGCCAGAGGTCATGATTTATGTTTGGAATGAGGTTTGAGCTACCCAGTCATACTAGGCCTGATAAGCGGCCTTGATGAGGCCTCAAAGCCTTTGATGCAGTGAGAATTCAGTTGTGGCGCAGATAGAAATTGTGTTAAGGTAACTACAAAGTAATGAGCTATCCGAGCAAGAATTAGAGTAGAGCTGCTGTGTGAAAAGTTTGACCACCTTAAGGAAAAGGTAAACAATGTTAATGTGCCAATCAGAGTGCCTTTGTAACTGTAAACTATGTAGAAGCTTATATAAACTACCATCTTATCTCGAATAAAGGGAGAATGTTTGATTAACCACATTGTTTCATATCTGTGTTTGTCTTGTCCAGCTTCCCGTTTTCCTGAGGCTCCCTGGCTTTTAGTGGCTCCCGGACCAGGGAACCAGGAGGCTCCAAAGAAGCTCCCAAATTACTCTTAGGGTAACAGGGAGCCGAATTTGAGTCGCACGACAAAAATTGAGGTCCAAATCGCCTTATGGTGACGGGACTGGGATCCCAAACTCACTTTGTGTGAACGGGGATCAGATGGAATGGAGCAGAAGACTCCAGACTCCAAATTGGGCCGTTCCCGACGGGAGAAAAAAGACTTTTCACATCGTTTGTTTGTGAGAGTCCGCTGGAGCAGTGAAGATCTCAGCGTTCACGAGGAACCCAAACGGCGGGTGTGGACGTGGCCGGGGCTGGGAGCTGGAGCGGGAGTGCTGCCTTGCCGAAGAAAAGTGAGCGCAGCAACCCACGGAGGTTGGAGGTAAGCCGCGAAGGGAAAGAAAGGGGACGTATAGAGAGCGTCCAAGGAAGAGCACCACGGTTCATTTCACATATCCTCTCTAAGAGAAGGAAAAAGATAAAAAGAGTCTGGTCTTATGCAAGCAATTGAATCGGTGGGCAAAAGAAAAAGAAAAGTTACAGAAAGTCCCTGGCAAAACAGGTTGGCAGAACTAAGGCAGCCAACTTAAGAAAAAGGTAAACAATGTTAGTGTGCCAATCAGAGTGTCTTTGTAACTGTAAACTATGTAGAAGCTTATATAAAATACCATCCTATCTCAAATAAAGGGAGAATGTTTGGTTAACCACATTGGTTCAGATCTGTGTTTGTCTAGTCCAGCTTCCCGTTTTCCTGAGATTTACCTGGCTTTTCCAGGGTGCAATTTTTTTGGAACGAGAAGGACCGGGGAGCTCTCCCTGTCCCCTCTGCAGCTGCAAAACAGTGGCCGCTACCGCTGTGAGGGTTTGGTGAAATCCTGGCTGAGAAGGTCAGCAGCAGTGACAGTGACAGTGCATGGTGAGCACACCCACAGCTGGAACTCCAGTATCCTGACAGCCCCAAAGCCATTTTCCAGTGGACTCAGGGTCACAGTCCTCACCTTCCCATCTCCTTCCCTGAGCTCTTCTCTGTGCCGGTGCTGGAGGGTCCCCCCGAGCCCACCGAGGGGTCTCCCTGACTCTCAGCTGCCTCAGTACCCCCAGCCCCCTGCAGCCCCGTGCCCCCCTCCTGCACATGTTCTACTGGGATGGGCAGGTGGTGGGGGGCCCGCAGGGGTTCCCGCAGCTGCTGCTGCCCGCTGTGGGGGTCTCCCACTCGGAGAATTACAGCTGTGAGGTGCGCTCCAAGGGGGGGAATGTGCGGAAGAGCAGCGCCCAGATCCACGTCACTGTGCACAGTGAGTGCAGGGATGAGCACTGGGAGCCCCCACAGCCTCCCCAGGTCCCTCATCACTGCCTGGGCACCCCTAGCCCTGCCCTGGGCCCCCAACCTTTCCAGGATCCCTCCCTGGCTCCATGCCTCCTCTCATGGGTCGCTCCCTGCCTCCCCCAGCTCTACATAGGTACCCCCATCCTTCCCCAACACCTTTTCTGTGTCTCACCGTCCCTGCCCTGGGTCCTTCCCCACATTCCCCCATTCCTAGCTCCTATCTCCCCATCCCTCAACAGGTACTGTCACCATTCTGAGGGTCCCCCCATCCCTGTCTAAGGTCTACGCATGGTCCTCAGGTCCCACCATCCCCTTCCTGGGTCCTCTCAACCCTTCCTGGTGTCACCCACCTCCCTCTCCCACTGTCTCCACCTTGGACCTTCCATCCTTCCTCGAGCTTCTTTCCAAGCCCCTTCCTTATTGTGCCCCCTCCCACTCACTGGGGCCTCCCTGCTCCTCTTCCTCTCCCCTGGGTCCCTCACTGTCCCCTGGTGTCCCCCCATCTCCAGGGGTCCCACCCTCGGGGGTATCCCTGTTGGTGCAGCCCCCCGGGGGACAGGTGGCATCTGGGGACAGCCTGGTACTGAGCTGTGCAGTGGCCACAGGGACAGGTCCCCTGTCCTTCTCCTGGAACCTGGAGGGCTCAGAAGCATCGCTGGGCACCGGGCCCCGTCTGGAGCTGTGGCACGTTGGGGACAATGACAGCAGCCAGTACCTGTGCCGGGTCAGTGACGGGGACAGCGTGGCTGAGAGTGACCCCCTGAATGTCACCATGCTGGGTGAGCGGGACCCTCAGGCTGGGGGTGACCCCACCCACGGCACCCCCATCCCACCCCGCCCAGTGCCAGCCCTGTCTGTGTCCCTGCAGTGCCCGTGGCCAATGGCACCATCACCCCCGGTCCCCTGGCACACCAGGTGCGCACAGGTGATCCCGTGACCCTGCACTGCTCGGTGCAGGTGGGCTCAGCCCCTGTCACCTTCACCTGGCTGCACAAGGGGCAGGAGGTGGCCCGCGGTCCCCTCCTGGAGCTTGGGGATGTCGATGTGGGACATTCGGGCAACTACCAGTGCGTGGCCACCAACCAGCTGGGACAGGATGGGCACCGGCCTCTTAGCCCAGAGCTGGGCCTGGAGATGACATCTGGCTCACCCTGCCTCACAGGTGGGGTCACACGGGGTCACCGGGCTGTGACACCCCTGTTCCCCAGGCCCTCGTGAACAGCCCCTGCTCAGTATTTCCACACTTTTTCCTCTCTTCTGGTGTGCACATCCACAACACAAACATTCTTTCCAGGAGGCTCCAAAGGGCTGCAGTTTTTGTTCAAAAAGGAGGGACCAGGTCAGGTTGTTGAGCAGATTGGGGTGGGATTTGCAGCAGTTTTGGGGCTGTCTCAGCCCCTTGCTGCAAGGGACAAAATGATCAATTGCTGCATTTCCGGACTGGTTCCTGTGGCAGGCACATTCTTCTCTCTCTCAGGGTTTTTTTCATAGAGGAGCACAGAGAGAAGAGAAAACAATTTCAATTTATGCTCCTTGTTTTCCACATGTGGAATGTGTTTGGAGAATTGTTGACCTGGGGTGATTGCTTGATTGTATTCTGGTGAGGATTGTTTGAGCCTGATGGCCAATCCAATCCACCTGTGTCTGGACTCTCAAGAGAGGGTCACGAGTTGTCACCTGGTTAGAGATGGTAGTTAGAACAAGTAGGTTTGTAGATTTAGTATCTCCTTTAAATAGTATATTAATGTATTATAGTATAGTTATAATAAAAAATCATTCCCTTCTGAACTGGATGCAGACATCATCATTTCTTCCCACCAGCTTCACCTGCATTTACAATAGGTTCCCCCACAGCTGCTCCTGCAGGGGGGGATTCCAGCCAGCCCTGCTCTGAGAACCATCCAAGGCCCTTGCAGAGCCACTGCTTGCACTCCCACTGGGTTTTGTGCTTCTTGCAGGGCTGAGCAAACCACAGCCAGGCCACTTCCCCCAAAGAATTCTCACCTCTGCAGCAGCTCTAAAGCTGCCAGAATCAAAGCCAGGGGACTAGGGGAACCCTCAGGTCCTGGCTGCCACCTGGGGCTGACCAGAGCAGGGCTGGCCAGTGGCCACCCCTGTGCAGTGGGGCTGGGCCATGGCTGGGTTCCAGCCTTGGACTGACAGGGTGTCCTGGGTTGTAAAATAAGCTTGTATTCTATTTGCCATCTGTTAAAAGCAAACCTGTCGGACAGGTTTTGTTATCTCTCTCAGAGACAATGGTTTGCCCCGTAAAGGCAATGGTTTGTTTATACACTATTGACTGACTCCCTGCCGGGCTGGTAAGTGAGGGGGGTCCCGCCCAGAGGGGAAGCCAAGCACTCTATTATAGT